TTAGGATAATGCAATATTGTAAAGGAATGTGAAGTTGATTTAGTGTGGTTATGTTCAGTTTAACAGAGAGTGGAGAAAAATAAATAGATGAAAATTACAAACTTCCTTCCTAACTATTGGGAAAGATACATTATATTAATTAAAATTAAATGAAAATATTTTTGAGATGAAAATAGATTTTCGTAGTATTTGAGTTATTTCCTGCACATTTGATTTCGTAAATAAATATAGCACAATAAACATACTTATACTTAACTGAACAGTTTGTTGACATGAATTCATTGTTAAAGATCCCCCCACACACACCAAATCAATGAAAATAAATCCCCACAAAAACTAAATATTTTACAGTATAAGACAATTGATTTTACTAAATATCAAGACTTGATAACATTTACAGCACTAAGGCCCATGCATGCACTAGACAACACATCCACACTAACATTGTTTGACAGAAGGACTCCAATTATCTTTACATCATTGTTATTTCAACCTTACACCTATTATGCATGACAACATGGAGAGTAGTGTCTGGTAAAGTGAAAAGATGGAAGATAATCAAAGTCTAATCTGACCCACTTAAAATCTCATTTTAAATCCTCACAAAGGGTGAGGTTTTTAAGATTTTTTTTAATTAAAAATAAATTTTTAAAAAATTTGGTCACACAATTTTCTATAATGCTGTTTCCTTTAAAACCTGTCAGCAAAAATTTGTTGCGGTTCAGGTAATTAATAACCATATTTACCATAATGAAATTTGATAATGTACTACTAATAATTGAAATACATGTTTATATATATATTCCAAGTTTCATCTATCTACAATTCATTTTTCCACATCCATCATTTTCATTTCTGTTTGAATGAAAGCAGAGGCACACACCATGGTGTACTTATGAAGTAAGCGGTGCACATGGTATATTTAAAGAATGCTTATTGTAGAATTAATCCTATTACAGGGTTATATACATGGTATGTTTATAAATCTGGAACATGTAGTAATCCAGTGAACTAAAACTTTAAGTTCAAAAAAAAAAAAAGAAAAAAAAAGTTAAAATCTTATTTAGTGTATAAATAGTATTTACAAAATCCACCAGTACTGATAATATTACATAGGAATTTGTGGATAAAGGGTACCTGTGATTCAACAAAAACAACCCCCATAAAAATCAATGATTGGGTAGTTTTGATGACTGGTTTTTCATCGATGGGAAACATATTAAATGTACATATTCCGTAAATGTATTTATTTAGTCCAAAGAGTAAGGCAGTACAAACCTTTCATTCAGAACTTGATAGCACCATTTTTTTTTTAATAAATTTGAAAACACTTCTAGGCACTTACCATAAAATCTCACAAACAAACACTTCATTTTTATAAATGGTTGTGAAAAACACTTACTTACTCTCTCAGAGTTTTGATTCACACTTAATATACAAGAGGTCCATAGGGCCTGCATCACTCATCCAACCTAAAGGAAAATTAATTCTAAAGGTCAATATCTATTTCCCTATTGGGCCCCACATCTCAGAATCAAGTGAGTTATAATATGCAGTACAACCCCAATAAGTTGAACCCCTTGGGACTTTGCGAGTTCGAGGAATGCGGGGCATTTGAGTCATCAGTGATTGGTCATAAAGCACCATCTAACACACATCAGTGTTCATCAATGACATATTCAATACACAATTTTTTGACCAGTCCAATCTATGATTATAATTAAGTTTTGATTGATTTACAACTTCCATTTATCTATAATTTTAATAAAGAGAAATGTGGTAAAATATGGCACTTAAACCTATATTCTGCAGAAACCACGTCATGAAGAATGATGGCTTTTTAATCTTAGTGTATGTAGGAAAAAGGGTGGAAAGATTTAGAGTGCTTGGTTTAATTGAATAATTAATACATGTAGTCTATCACATCACAAGAAAAAGTTCAATTTGCATAATAGTAAAGATGCCAATCGCATGGACAGAAACATTCTTGAGCACATGTGTACATAATTTACATTGATAAATGTATTATTGACAGCTTTCACTTAAACAATTGATTAACTATTAAATGTAAGGTGGAGAATCATCTTTATGCACTTGTACCCTCTCACCAAACAGTATTCTGTGACACCTGTGCGATAAAAAGAGGGTGGAAATACTATAAACATAAGAGGCGGGGATAAAAATGAGTTAAAGAAATATGGGGAATTTGAGGAATGATGGTGAGGATTCAAAAGTTAAATAGTTAGAAAAATATTTAAAGACACAGTCGGCACCAAGCTTTGGTCACCTGCATACCACATATACATGTATATGATGTTCTTCTAGAATTATCAGAGACATGAAAATTACAAAATTTATTGAATTTTGGGGCTAGTGCACCTCCCCATCTAGACTCTGACTTCTCTTCTGATCACTTTAGAAAAAAAGAGGAGTTAGCTGTATGATGTAAATCTGTATAAAAGGTACTATTCACTTGTGTGTTTTTTGTCCAATCTTCCTTAACAGAGAACAACAAAGCCATTCAGATATATTAATCTACTTGTCTTATATTGATACAATAACCTTATATTGATGCTCTTAAAATTCTCTTGCTCTCTAACATAAACAAGAAGATAACTAGCTACACAATGTACTTCAGGCTATGTAATTTTGATGTAAAACTGACAGGGTTATCTCCCCTTGATCACTGTCATGAGAGAGTAATTCTAGCTGAAGACTGCATTCTCCCTCAGGCATGCAGATAACATTGTATAAATATACATATACATTTTCTACCTGGCTGATGTTGATGTTGACACTAATTAGGTGTAACTTTCAGGTGAATAAGGTGCATTCTCACCTGAGATAAAACAGGTGCAGGAGTCTAGAGTTAAGTCGGGTACACAGCCCTATGATCGACAAAACAAACATATAGCCGTAACTTACATGTAACTGGCCTGATATCATATTTTTGTTTTGAAATGCGATGTCTTTTGTTCAATGACATTCTTGAAAATCTAGAAGAAATGAGTTAATAAACACAGAAATATTTTTTGTCACAATATCTCTTGATGGCAGAACATCAACTTCTGTTTTTACTACCATAAGTATACTGTCCAAATGCACATGGTTAGCTAATTAAAACTAAACAACTTTTTTGATACCATAAATCTTTCCTTTGTTCAGCATTTTGAATGAGTTGAACAAAACAAATACTTGGAAATATCAGAACATCAGTAGTGACATCACATGACAAGAATTTCCATGGAAATGAAGGTCACGGACGATGACACATGGGTCGATTACATAATTCTGATGATGGATTTACCAATGGTGACTCTCAGGGAAGACTACTTATTTCTCTCAGAAAGCAACACATATTGAGATATGTTTATAAATTATATAATGATTATGGAGTGCACATGTACCATTGACAACCAGTGCTCATTTTTAAGGACCATATTTATATATTGTTATAAATAATTTCAATAAAATTTTACTTTGTGTTATCCTTCATTATGATTGGTCTTGACCAAAAATAGTTAGTTAGTTAGTTAGTTAGTTAGTTATGTAGTTAGTTAGTTAGTAAAAGTTTTATGTCTTTGTTACTGTTTCTATCATAAGGCTTTGTCTCCTAGCCAATGACCGTGTCAGTTTTTCAACCAAAAATACTTATCTAATTGACATATGGGGGCCATAATAGTTTAGTTAGCAGTGTAACAACCTCAGGTGGAAATCTGAGGCATGAAGTTCAAGAACCTTTACTAAAAGTTTTTTTTAATTCTAGTAAAGTTGAAAAACAAGAGGCCCATAGGGCCTGTATCACTCAACCGGCTTTGCATGGCTGAACTTGCTTTATTAAAACTAAAGGAAAAGGAATTCTACATATGAATGTACACAACATTTATATTTTACTCTTTGATCTCAATCCTCTGTCCCTGGGGTTAGGGCAACCCCTCCTGCTCCATGGGACAGGGTCCCACCATTAATACAAAATTGATTCCCCTTAACACAAGATTGCTGGAGATCATATTTGGGCAAAAATCAAATCATTGCTAAACAAGGAGTAGGATTCTTGCCAGGTGAACTTAAACTTTCTTATGCTGTTATGGCTGTGTGCTTGCCTGGGCTCTAATGACTCTGACTATCATGTTATGGATCTCCTGTATGTTGTTCAGTGAGGTAGCCACTAGTTAATAGAAAAAGACATTGCCTTAAATGATTCTAGGTGTTCCTGGTGTGATAACCACAGCAATTAAACAATACAAATACAATGTATAGTCAAATAGTGATGTAACAAATTAACCATAACAATATTCTCTACTCCTTATACCTACTAATGAACATCTGTATTAACAATGTATAGTCAAATAGTGATGTAACAAATTAACCATAACAATATTCTCTACTCCTTATACCTACTAACGAACATCTGTATTAACAATGTATACAGGTAGTCAAATAGTGATGTAATGAATTAACCATAACAATATTCTCTACTCCTTATACCTACTAACGAACATCTGTATTAACAATGTATAGTCAAATAGTGATGTAATAAATTAACCATAACAATATTCTCTACTCCTTATACCTACTAATGAACATCTGTATTAACCTGTTCTGATATTCTCTTTTTTTTGTTTTGATTAATCTTTTAAGTTAAAAGGCCATTAACTAAACCTAACCAAATCACAACCTGACCTGCATGTTATCATTATACAACAACATAACGTTACAAGCCTATATCTATATCTGTTAAAGAGGAAAGGGGCAGAAACAAAATTATGACAAACCGTCAGACAAGGGTACCACAAGGTGCCCTGATCATGAACCGTCAGACAAGGATACCACAAGGTGCCCTGATCATGAACCGTCGGACAAGGGTACCACAAGGTGACCTGATCATAAACCATCAGACAAAGGTACCACAAAGTGCCCTGATCATGAACCGTCAGACAAGGATACCACAAAGTGCCCTGGTCATGAACTGTCAGAGCAAAAACAAATGTTGACCTTACCTCATGATCTTTGTTTTTGGATTCTGTGGAGTATAACGAATATTTGTCCAGAGACGACCGCTCAATGTTGGCTTTGTCCACTTGGGATTTTTCACTGTGTAGAGAACGGTCCGTATTCGGAATGCGGTCAATCAGGGATATTTTATCTGGCTGGGCGTGTCGTTCAGATCCTGGCGAGGTGGAGCTATACTTGTCAGATCCTGTATTAGCATATCTGTCAGCCAATGTCTGTAAATCTACCACAATAAGATCATCTTTAGAAGCTGATTTCCGATACTCAATATGGCCACCATCATGATCAGTGGTAGCCATCTCTTGATTACATAACCTCCAAATGGCTGCTAGCAACCATCTTTATTAAGCAATTAAACAAAATATATGGCACATACAACTTTAATCCACACTAAACATGTTTATCTTTCAAAGTTATCCATTAAATTCTTCAGAAATAGTAGTAACAAGGAACCGTTTATCAGTCAGATTGATAGACAGACCAAAGACACAAAGACATATGTAGGTTCTCAACCTGTACCATGGCGTTATAAAAATTCTCTTGTGGATCTCATGCCACTGTGACAGACTTACTTCCTAAACTGTCTTCCCCTTCTCCCTCTTCACTTATTCCTTCATCTCCCCTCTGTTTTATTTCATTTCTTGTCTACTTCCTTTTGCACTTTGCTATGGTGCCTGTACATTGTACCTGTACCTTGTTTCTTTTCTTGACTTCTCCTATTCGTCCGTCTCCATGCCCCCTGTATGTTGTTCCTTTGCATCATCTCTCCCTTTTGCCCCATGTCATGCCCCCTGTATGTTGCCCCTCTGTACCATGTCTCCCTTGTGTCCCTTGTCATGCCCCCTGTATGTTGTCCCTTTGCATCATCTCTCCCTTTTGCCCCATGTCATGCCCCCTGTATGTTGCCCCTCTGTACCATCTCTCCCTTTTTCTCCTTGTCATGCCCCCTGTATGTTGCCCCTTTGCATCATCTCTCCCTTGTGTCCCTTGTCATGCCCCCTGTATGTTGCTCCTTTGCATCATCTCTCCCTTTTGCCCCTTGTCATACCACCTGTATGTTGCCCCTTTGCTTTTGCATCATCTCTCTTGTGCCTTTGTCATGCCCCCTGTATGTTGCCCCTCTGCATCATTTCTCCTATTTGCCTCTTTCCATTGTCCCTCTTCATCATCGCTCTCTTTTGCACCTTTCAATGCCTTCTGTATGTCGCCCCTCTGCATCATTTCTCATTTTTGCCCCTTTCCATGCCCCTCTGCATCATTTATTTTTTTGCCCCATTCCATATCCATGTATGTTGCCCCTCTGCAGCATTTCTCATTTTTGCCCCTTTCCATGCCCCTTTAAATTGACCCTCTGCCTAACTTCCTCTCTTGCCCCCATTACCTTGCCATTTTGCTTTAATCATTCCTCCTCTAACATTCCCCCAACATTACATCTACTGGTTATTTAACTAGTCTGTCTTCTGTTCCCTCCCTGGATTCCATAACTCTTATTCTTCTAGTTCCATATTCATACAACACTACAAAACACTACATTAACCATGATGATGGAGGTGGGAGGAGGGGGGACTTCATATTTTATACTTTTGTACTTAATCTTTATTGAAAGGTGCTAACCTCTTGTGTCTTGTCTACAACCCTCTTAGAGAAATATAGTGATAGTATCTGTACCTACCTGTGGTTCTATAGTTGGAGAAACGTGGTGACAGTGGTGGGTTCATACTCCGATACATAGACATCTTGGTTTGTTGTAATTATTAAGACTGTTTACAAACACATAAATCACTGTATATCCGTATTTTTCTGTCTATTCTTGAAAAAATAAAAAGTATTTCACCATCTTTTCACTGATGATGAATTCTTTGTATGGTCTTTCCATCAAATGAAGTTATTAGGAGCTCATCAAGAATTCCTGTATCTCCATCCAATTATGTAGAGAGTCTGCGGACAATGCTCTCCTTCTGTCTGTGCTGAGTAACAACAATTATTTATTTCCCTGTCACCATTACTCGTTCTGTGATGTTACGTCCATACCTCATTCACAAAATCCAGTCAACTGAAAATATATACAGAAATCACCGTATAAAACCATTACCATACAATACTAGGATGATTTCTTGGCTGGGTCTTGCAACATTTTTTAAATAACTTTAGTAAACTTTTCAAAATTCCTATATCTGAAGAATCTTCACGTAACTATACCACTTCTGACTGAAAATAGAAATTTACTGAATAACACGCTCACTTCTGGTAGAAATCTACACTCTTTCATTACCTTGATTTTAATAGGGGTACCATAGTTTACAATTTACGACAATTTTGAGATACAGGTAGAAAAATAAAAAGATTCTACCTATAAAGTTACCCTGAAGGTACACAGTAATTACAGGTGGTGTTTATTTACACCTGTGATAAGACTTGGTGATGATGTTCATTTCACACACCGTAAGTTATCAAGTGCCTTACATCTCATCCGAGACTGTCATTGATGTGGTAACCAGTAAATAGTGGTATCTATATATCAACATATACATCAGAAAAAATCCTATTATCTATAAATACACTGGCTAGTAAATACAATATGTGTATCTATATGATAAGTAAATAAAGCTTCATAACTTATACAATGGTAGAAACAATAAATATATGTATATATCTATATCTACATATTACTTATATATACCTATATATCTAAATATACGCATTTTATTATCTATACACAAACTGGTCAGTAAATTCAATATCTGCAAGTAAACAAGAAATACTATTTAGGCATTACGTCCACTGTAAAGTCGGATATTCTCATGAAGCTGAAATTATTTTTGTTTTCAAAAATGTTTTAAATGGCTCAGGCATTTTTTTTGTTTTACAAAAGTTCATCAATTTAGGAATATGAATGATTTTTTATTAAGATTACCCAGCAAGTTAATGAAAACAAAAAACCCACAAAAATTAATGACTTAACAACATATAGATAGAAAATTCAGAAATCTGTATGTTAAGATATTTTATTACACATATTTACGCACTAGTGGGTTTATATGTCTAGAAGATTTATGATGAATAAATTAGTGACAGCTAATGGGAAAATATACAAGTGATTAAAATGTGTTAAGTAATAGCGCAATACTTCCACAATAACAGATTTTATACAGTATGAAGTCCAGCATTTAAGAAGAGCATGATAATAAACAAAATGTGACATTAACCATCATGATATTAAGAGGAATCAACAATGAATCAACATGTGGTTACAGTATGTATATTAAGAAGTCTCTTAATTGATAAAGTTCTTGATGAACATATTAACAATAAACAGTGTTTTTATATAAACAGGTGGGTCTTTTTTTATGCAGATGTGTGTGAGGCACGCCAACAATGATCCCGAAATGTTTACTCATTATGTGAAATGTAATATTAGCCAAAACTCTAGCCTGACATATAGAAATAAGGAAATTTGACACAGGATACATTAGCCCAGTAGGTCAGTGTACGATAGGTGTCCAGTGTTATGATATATTATCATAGTAGGTCATCATGTGAAAGATTTCTAGTGTAAATGTAGCACTGCCATAATTACCTAAATGGAATGTTAGATGTAGTCATGTGACCTCTCCCTCTGGGTGAAAATCCTAATATCAGATCATAGCTAGACTTATACTTGAGTGTAATATTGTAAGGTAGAAAATGAAACCTTCATGAATAATAACAGCTCATTACATTACAACCAAAATAACATCTATAATGAACTATTTATGAAAAATGGGAAATTATTCTGTGTTTTTTACATGTGAGGTTGATAATGTGTGAGGTTGAACAACAAGAGCACAGGAAATCATTAACAAAGATTGAAAGTTGATCTAAAACGACTTTCTCTGAAAGAATCTGTTATTAAATCTACATCTGTATGGAGCTTTTGTCCGAGTTTCAGATCTATGAATTACTAAATCAAGCTGTAGACAATATACGAGGGCTGATTGATAAGTTGTGAGCCTTGTATTGAGGGGGTTAAGCAAGGATGTCCCTTTTCAGCTCTACTATTCTCTGATTATTTAAGGCTATGTATCCAAAGACTGCCGTCATTAGGTCAATTTGTCGAAGCAGTAGAGTAAACAAGGCAAGTGATTTTTGCAAAATGGACAAAATTGCTGAAAGAGCAGTGATTCAATATTTGCCTAAGAAAGGTCTAGCACCTAAGGATATCTATACTGATATGATAACACTAGGAAATGGTGCCTCTTCACAGGGTACAATGAAAAATTGGGTGGCAAAATATAAGTGTGGCAGGCAGAGCCTTGAGGATGACGCCCATCCTCGAAGACCTGTCACTGTTGAAACCCCAGAAAAGGTCAATTAAGTCCATGATATTGTTGTGGCTGACAAGCATGTTACAGAGAGGTATATAGCCAGTACAGCTGGGATTTTAAAGACATGAGTACAGTGCTACTCTGAACCTTTTAGAGGTAAATCATACTAGCTTTCTGCAGAGGTTTGTGACTATGGCCAAACAAAAGACTAAACTAAACCAGAAGTTCCTGCTTCTTTGCAGAGGTTTGTGACTATGGCCAAACAAAAGACTAAATAATGGAAGTTTCCTGGTTCACCCCCGCCAAAGAAGTCAAAGACTGTTCCATCAGCTGGAAAGCTGATAGTATTCTCATGGTAGATTATCCGCAAATGGGACAAACAATCAATGGCACATATTATGCATCACTTCTTATGCAGTTAAGTAAAAATATTAAACTCAAGTGCCATGGAAACTTGGTAAAGGTGTGTTGTTCCACCAGGATAGTAATGGTAATTAAACATCTGTTTTATTTGCCTGATCTCACTCCATCAGACTTTTATCTATTTCCAAAATTGAAAAAAGATAATTTCAGTACCTGTTTTGGTCAGATGATGTCTTGCCTGCAGTGGAGGATTTTCTGAACAGTCAAGAAAAGTATTTCTCAAAAAGTGGCATAGAGACACTTAGGCATTGCTGGCAAAAGTGTATAGATACTGGAGGGAATTGTGTTGAAAAATGATGTAATATGTCCACCAAAAGTCAAACCCTCACAAATTCTCAATCAGCCCTAGTAGCTGTACTTTTCAACAGTTTTTCAAACAAAAGATCCTAGAGGGATCTTGGCACCCACCATTGTTTGATCTTTATTCGTACTTTGAAAGTTTGATCTATTCCCTTCTTTTCTCTTCTCTGTTTTTGCTCTTAACGATAACAAATTAATTCTTTGCAGAAGAAGCAATAATAATCTTTAACTCCCAAGTCCAAGAAGGTCACCTGGAAGTTTTTTTTATTTTTTTCTGATCAGTCCAAAAATCACATAGGCATAACTCAGGACTAATGGGAACCTACACATGAAATTTGAAAGAAATCTATTCAGCACTTTACTAGGCAAAGTCCAAGATGGTCACCTGTCTGCCATTTTGTTTTCTGATCAGTCTTTGGATCAAACTGGCACAGCTATAACAAACTTCAGTTATCAAGAAATAGCAATAATAAACTTTCAAAGTCAAAATCCAAGATGGCCACCTGTCGGCCATTTTGTTTATCTGATCAGAGATAAAAAATATTACTAGGCGAAATTCAATATGGCTGTCTGTCTGCCTTTTTGTTTCTCTAATCAGACTGAAAATCAAATGGGTACAACTAGGGACCAAGGTGAAAGATCAATCCAGTACTTCTCAAGAAATAGCAGTAACAAATTTCATTGAAAAAATACAAGATGGCCACCTGTCAGCCATTTTGTTTTTCTGATCAGTCCCAAAATCAAACTGGCACAACTAGGGAGCAAGGGAAACCTATATACAAAGTTTAATAAAGGTCCATCCTGTGCTTCCCAAGAAAAAGCAATAACAAAAAATATTTACAGATGGAAGGACCATGGACAAAGGGTGATTTGAATAGATGAATAGACACCACCATCACATGGTGGGCTCAAAATAGAAACAATACATGTGGCCTTAATACTGTTAAGCTTTCATCTAGTGAAATCTATAAAAAGAACTCCTAAGCTGAAGAAAAAAGTTTTGGCAGAAAAACGGTAATCTTTCATAACTCTGAGTGATATTTCAAACGCACACAGAGATGGGGATATTTGTACAACACTTTTGCATCATAAGAAATTAATTGAACTTATTGTTACACTATAAATTAGGGCTGCAAAATTATGTAAAAGGACATGATTATTATTAATAGCTGCTAGTACATGTATCTCCCTGAGGAAGGGAATTATGTCTCCTGTATTGATTGATGTGCTGTGTATTATACACTATCACACCATGTACAACTGCAACTCTTCATCCTATTGTGTAATACAGACATATTCACTGACAACAATCTCCTGCTATGAAAACATCAATACCATTTAGGATATCTTAAAACCTAACTCCGCAAACTCCCGGATGTTTAGTACAGAATTTGTAAAGGAATTTGTTTTCATGTGAAAAAAACCCAAGATCTCTTCAAATTCAAACATCTCTATTCTAGCAAAATCCTAGTGTTTAACCACTTATAAATACTGTTGATCGAACATCAAAGTAAACCCATAATATTTTTCTTGACGTCCACCTTTACTACTCTTGTTCATACATTAATCAGAGACCCTTGTCCTCCCAAATATAATTTCTAATTTGATTGACTATACCTGGAAATCTGTTTCATCCTAACAATAAAGTGATTATCCCCCCTGGCCCTGACAAGTCAGAGCTCCAAACCCTTACATCTGTAGATCTGTAGATAATGTCAGTGTAATATTCATTATGACCTGTCAATTAATACAATGGTGGGTTGTTACCACACAATCCAATGAAAGTAGCAATCTGTTACTAGAGTTACAGAACAGGTGTGGACTGAAGAAATACCCTTGAGCTATACCAGGTTCACTACCTCAATTGTGCTTTTACAAAGAGACAAAATGATGCAACTAGTACTTAAATAGCCACAGTATACTGCTCAGTCAGTGTTTTCCATTTTAAATGACTCCTTAAATTGACAAAGGACCCTCAACATTAATAACACTTTATTCTATTTCATATATGATGCCAGTCTTACATTTCATTTTGAGGGTTCCAGGAAAAAACTCTGCGCAGCCAGTACAAATGTTTCTTTATCTCAATCTGTTGAGAATAAGGTTATGCATGTAGCGAGTCAGTGGTCACTGATGTGATCCAAGCAGAGGCATTTATGTAAATAATGAGTGACATTACAATATCACCTGACTGAAGATTCAACTGAATACAGGGAAAAATTCTGGACTTAGATGAAAATATAACTTAATTACCACGATATTTTTTCCTTGGTATTGATGTTAAATCTGCTTGTTACCTGAAAATGCGGTAATAGGATTTATAAAGCTACTTACCATCTGTATGAAATAAAAATAATGAATTTGTAATCCTGGTTAAAGAAGTGAAATGTATAAAAATTGTTAGATGAAGGGTAGAAAATTTTGTAAAGACCTTGATGAAGTTCCTCAGCATCTTCAGTTAAGCATTTCTCCAGCCAAACACTTCTGTAGGGTTTCAACAACTGAACGTCAATTAAACACCAAAATACTTCCACCTGTTCAAAAAAGGAAAACACAAAGTTGTAAATATTACATATCCCAAATCTTAAATTCAAATTTATTCAATTTCTAGAAGGTAAAATGGTATGTGATTTATGTAGAGTTTTGGGGTCAGTGAAGATTGTGACTAGAAATGAAATGACATGTAATAACACATGTTTATGCTTTGTCACACTTGTCTTTCTCCTACTAACCAATGTCATTCTAGTCCATAAAACTGAATTAATGCAACAAAATTATTGCAAGAGGTTAATAAAATCTGTCACTCATATTTCTAAAACACACTTAAATTTCTGCAGAACAGGTGTTACAATTCTCCTATCATACCAGGTAATATATCAATTTTAGTGAAAGTTTATCTTATTTGTAAATCATGTTTCATAATGTAACAAAATCTGCTTCTTGCAGAATTTTGACTGGATTATTCAATGACTACAATTAATGACAGATGTATAAAAAAAAAAAATTCAAGGGGCGTAACTCTGACCTCTGATGATTTAGGTTAACCAGCTAGGAGAAGCAACATACCATCCTTGACCTTCTAATGACATGCCTGAAGCCCTCACATGGTGTTTCAAAGCTTAAATAGCCAGTCTTATGTATAATTCAAACTTTAGAAAGCAAGTGTTGTCAACTGTGAATGTTGTCATACAATGTCCCCCAAAGGTTTGTCAAGTTTTGTCTGCATTTTACTGTAAATTTGTACATTTATGTTGGGCTTAAATTTCCATGGTTTTACAAAAATGTGCATTTTTATTAGCATTTAATTTCATGGATAAACCTATTTCGTTCTAAAATCAATGTTATTTTCTATTTTTATCATTTCCTGGACATATTAGTTTATGGATTAATGATAACCATGAAATCAACAAAAATGAATGGTTTTACAATAATTGAAACATATATCATTTTTCTGTAAGTGTATTTTCACACAGTGACATTACCCCATAATCTAGTAGTACTTTCCCCAAAAGTAGTGTTTGTAAAATAAAATGTATCCTGCATTTTTAAATACATGGAGGTTACCTACAAAATGGGAAATAATTTTATAGAAAGTTGTATCAAACATCCAGGCCCATAAAACTAGCTTCCATTACATCAACCTTGAATCATCAAATGTTTCTGAAAATTTCTGGGCGTCTTTTAAAAAATAAATTTCCCAAGTTATCTAGGGGTTGTTTTAAGTGTTGCCAAAACAGCCTGAAATCTACATCACTAAGTGATCACCATTTATTGTCAATTACTGTGTTAGCCTCCAACACTTAAATAACAACAAGTGAAACACGAAACGGACATGCTACCTTCACTTTAATTACTTAAACCTGCGCCAAATTTTCTCTGGCCTCTCTACTCTAAATTCTAATTGCTGAGGTACAAAGTTCATATCATAGAAGATTTTTGCTAAGAAAATTGTGTTTTATAGTCTGTCTTTGCTTACTAGATTGTTCTGAAATAAAAAGTAATGAGACAATGTTGGGCAATTGCTTTGTTAACAAGAAGTCGCTAGTTTAAACTCAAACAAGGGTATGACATTTTTTCCATTACTTCTTCCCATCACACACAATTATCTTGAACTACCATATCACAAAGATTTTGTTCCTTAAACTTATATTTTAAAGAACTGCAAATATAAGCTATGGCAGATTAAGAGGTTTGTGTAAAAGCTAAAAGAGATTTTGTGAGTGAGAAAGTAGTGTATAAGTTGAAGGTCAACATCCTATTAGCTATAGTTGGAAGTTTGAAACTCCCAAGCTTCACATAAATTCCTATAAAAGGTGAAGAAAAGAAAGTAATGGCAGGGTAGTTGATTTTGACAATCCATCAACTTTTATATCAATTTAGAGTCAAAAATAAAAAAGGCATTCCATTCTCTATATACCGTTCCGATGCTGACCCAGAAACTGGTCACTTCTTTATAGGGCAGGAGTTCAGATGATGGACATCAGAATAATCCAGGCCAGTGACAGAGTATGTACCCATAGTAAGAAGTTGATTATCTAAGGTTCAAAGCCTGGCATGAAGGGAAAACTTTTCATTATTTCAAAATTTCTCTGGGTTTTGATATCAAAATTTCAGCCAGTGATTTTTTCTGGACATCTCATCAATTTCAAATATAAGTTTGTCGTATCACTACCGAATCCTGGAAGAAAGAAACAACTGTGTGATGTATTTTACTGCATTAGTCATCAATACTTTATCTAATCATGAATTTGTATTTACAGGTACTAATTACTTGCACATGTCTTGTACACTGTGTTTTTTGTACAACCCTATAAATATATGTAAACATATATCCAGACCATCAGTGATAAATGTATATGTCAAAAGGCAGGAACATTCCTACTCCTGTGATACATGTTTTGTCTTTAGACGTAAAGCAATGTAGCTGTAAATGTTGATGTACTGTAGGTTCACAGTGGTATGAACACAATGCTAATTACAGGAGAACATCATATCATTTCCATTTGCCAGTGACAATAGACTATACACTGTGTAACAAACGCTAAATTGTACATACATGTTGGTATGTATACCTCCATGTACCATATAAATGTAACATTCAGGTAAGAATGGATTTAAGTGGGATAGCAAGAAGAAAGAAAGAAGAAAAGAAGGAAAGAGAAGGAGGGAAAAAGAACTGAAAAGATTTGAAGGAAAGGAAAGATAGAAAAACGAGGTACAGCATTTATTAGAATAATGGTATCCTTAAAGGCGTATGGAAGGAAAGAGTAGAAAAAGGAAGAGAAAAGAAAGAACTGGAAATGGCAGATGGAGATGGATGGAAGTAATATCAGAAACATTAGGAATAAACAAGATCCTAAATTACCTACATTGGTATATCATCCTGACAGATATTAAACACTTATATACATTGTCACTCCAAGTCTTTGAAAAAAACTGACCTTCATATAACACCAGTATATTTACATTTCCAGGTATATCTCTGTGTACAGGAATAAGCCATATTGACTTCAAATTATTTTCATAATAAGATACTGAAATTCTATCATAAAAATGAATAAAATGAAGGCTCTACACACTGATGGTGATCTTTTATACATCAATATTTCCAACAATTTCTTGTACAATTTCAGATGTCATGTAAATTACAAAGAAAGACATCAAAATTATATCTAAATGATAAGGAGAGTTGACAGACACTTCCTGTAAATTAATGTAAATGTATACAGCAGGCATGAGATATGAATATCTGTAATATATGGATAGATACTGTTGCTGTTTTTATGATTAAAACTGCAGGTGCCCCGTCTCAGTCATTCATTCATTAAACACTCAAACACAAGACCATAACAACCCAGAAATTTCTTTGTTTACAAAATGTTTGGTCTTGTGCATGTTAAACAGCGTGCTGAAACAGATATGACTCAGCTCGAAGTCAAGCTCCATAAATATTACCAAGAAATCAATTCAACATCAACACAGTCCTCCTCCTTATACTGACGACACTGTACATTTGATCCAGTATCCATAACAGAGAATGTCACACTACCAATCAGCACTTTAATATTACTGCAATATTTTTCAATTCTATCAGAAACAGAAAATGTTTTCCTGAAAAGTAGAATTTTCATCAACAAACCGTCATAGATATAATGTTAAATGAACTTGTTAAGTCCAATATATTGTAATTTACCTTACCTGTCACAATGTACTCCCAAATTTAGCTGTATAAATGGATTCATGGACAAAATTCCTAGATTTCACCATTTGTTTCCTTTTCCTTCATATCAAGCTATAATCCTTTATACTATTCCAAAATCACAAAGTAAAATGTCAAACAACCACAACAAATGGTTTTCCTCGGATTCTGCTGAGGCAACCAGCATCAAAGTGTTAGAGGTTTCCACACTGAATTAGCAATAATTAGTCCTTCTGTCAGATAATGGGCCTTAAATGCGAGATTTTTTGTGGTTACTACCTACAGTGTGTACTGGTCCTACTGTCTGAAACCATGTGTACAATGTTTTGCAGGAGAGCAGGAGTTGATGGTTCATCAGGCTGTTTAGGGTTAAATGCTGTGTCTAACCAACCGTGACACTTACAAGTCATGTGCATCAAGGGCCACAGGTTTCACCCCACCAGCAAATTTTTTTGTTGTTGTTGGTGATTGGGAGGGGGAGGGGAAAGGTAGGGAAAACTTATTCAGGGGTAGGGCCTTGTTGGAGGGGTTGGAAGGAGGTGTTTGTATCAGATTCATTGATCTACCTATTGTTTTAGGGAAGGTTAGGATGGGAGGTGAAGGGAAAATACTACAGGTGCTGAGGAGGGGGAGGTGTTATGAGGAAGCAGGGCTGGGGAGATTATGGAAGTGCTAGGGGCATTAGTTACTCAGTGTTGAAATGAGGTGTTAACAAAAAGGGGGCAGGGTGCAGGAAAATTTTCCTGTGGTTAGTGGGAGGTGTAAGGAGAAAGATGGGAGGAAGCTTATTTTCAGGGTTAGGGGCAGTGTTAGAAAGGTTTCAGCAAGGTCCTGAGGATTGAGAAGGGACTTGTGCTCATGGTTGGTGGAGGTGTGTTGGAAGGTTGCTGAGAGGTGTTATATAAGTGGGAGGGGCAAGTGGGCAGTTACCAAGTCAATGAGAGTCATAAGGATGGATTATACAGGAATTGATCCAGTGTTAGAGGGGAGGTGATGAAAGGGTGTGGGGGCTAACAAGGTACTAAGTAGGGTTACTGAGAGTGTTTAGAAGCACAGGATAATTAGGGATGGGGAAGTTAAGTCAGAGATGGTGTTAACAATGAAGAAAGACAGGACTTTTTAAGGGATGAGATCAAGGTTTGAGATAAAGTACAGAGGATGAGTTAGAGTTAAGAGGGGATGAGATTGAGTTAAAGGGATAATCAATTAATATGTATGAAAAAATGACTTGACATAATGTTAAAGACAATGTGGGGACAGGATCAATGTTAAAAAAAAGACTTAATGGAAAGGACTGAGGACTAGTGAAAGATAGACAGAATAAGGATGAGAAAAAAATGGGAGAAAGAAAAAGGACAGAATATGCATTGGAAAAGAGAGTGCTTGAGAAGTAAGAAATGATGGGGGAGGGAGAGTGCATGAAGAAGTAATAGCGATAGGGGGAGGGAGAGTCCATGAAGAAGTAAGAAATGATAAGGGAGGGAGAGTGCATGAAGATGCAAGAAATGATAGGGTGAGGGAGAGTGCATGAAGAAGTAAAAAATGAAAGGGGGAGGGAAAGTGCATGAAGAAGTAAGAAATGATAGGGGGAGAAAGAGTGCATAAGAAGTAAGAAATGAGAGGGGGAATGAGAGTGCATGAAGAATTAAGAAATGATAGGGGAGGGAGAGTGCATGAAGAAGTAAGAATGATTGGGGGAATGAGAGTGCATGAAGAATTAAGAAATGATAGGGGGAGGGAGAGTGCATGAAGAAGTAAGAATGATTGGGGGAATGAGAGTGCATGAAGAAATAAGAAATGATAGGGGGAGGGAGAGTGCATGAAGAAGTAAGAAATGATAGGGGGAGGGAGAGTGCATGAAGAAGTAAGAAATGATAGGGGGAGGGAGAGTGCATGAAGAAGTAAGAAATGATAGGGGGCGGGAGAGTGCATGAAGAAGTAAGAAATGATAGGGGGAGGGAGAGTGCATGAAGAAGTAAGAATGATAGGGGGAGGGAGAGTGCATGAAGAAGTAAGAAATGATAGGGGGAGGGAGAGTGCATGAAGAAGTAAGAAATGATAGGGCTGGGAGAGTGCATGAAGAAGTAAGAATGATAGGGGGAGGGAGAGTGCATGAAGAAGTAAGAAATGATAGGGGGAGTGAGGTGCATGAAGAAGTAATAATGATAGGGGGAGGTAGAGTGCATGAAGAAGTAAGAAATGATAGGGGAGGGAGAGTGCATGAAGAAGTAAGAATGATTGGGGGAGGGAGAGTGCATGAAGAAGTAAGAAATGATAGGGGGAGAGAGAGTGCATGAAGAATTAAGAAATGATAGGGGGAGGGAGAGTGCATGAAGAAGTAAGAAATGATAGGGGGAGGGAGAGTGCATGTAGAAGTAAGAAATGATAGGGGGAGAAAGAGTGCATGAAGAAGTAAGAAATGATAGGGGGAGGGAGAGTGCATGAAGAAGTAAGAAATGATAGGGGAGGGAGAGTGCATGAAGAAGTAAGAAATGATAGGGGGAATGAGAGTGCATGAAGAAATAAGAAATGATAGGGGGAGGGAGAGTGCATGAAGTAAGAAATGATAGGGGGAGGGAAAGTGCATGAAGAAGTAAGAAATGACAGGGGGAGAAAGAGTGCATGAAGAAGTAAGAAATGATGGAACTACAAAGTAAAGAGAAGGGATAACAAATGAGAGAGAAGAAAAGAATAAAAATCACACAGGTTAGTGGGGTTTTTTTTACATTAACAGAGTAATTAGGGAAGTACTTCCAAATGCACATTTTAAATTTGGAGGGAAACAGGGAAGTGATATTAACATCGAAAGACACTTAAGTCACATTCCTACTGAGGTAAAACTGTGTTTATAAACCACTGATAAACTGGTTCACTGCATAAAAAAGTAACATGTACATTCTCTCTGTAATTAAGAAGTGGTACTTTTTGCAATTTTCCAGAAACCCAATGTGGACCAGTATGTAGGCCTTGGTCTTTGAATTATCCAGACTTTGATAAGCTTCCATTGTAATTATTACTTGCCAGCATTGTGTACTTTATTTATGTGTTCTATAAACAGTTTCCCATCCTGATCATGTTAAATGTTTAGGTGAATATTTCCTGGCTTTTCTGTCAAATTTCACAAAAAAATACCTGAATGACAAGAAAATCCCATAAAACAGTCTCAGGTCTGTAGACTATAGTAAACAGAAAATAACATTAGCAGATACCTGATAAAAAATACCATCTGGATACAGCAGAGTTTAGTTCTGAATGAAGATAAGTGGGCCTATGGACTCTCACAAACCTATAACCAGGTACTACACAAACACAGCTTAATTAATTCAGAGCTTGTATATAAAGCCCAATTAACATACTACGCATCCACTTGTTATTGTCATTTTCCTGATGATGATGACAGTAGGACCTCTCCAAAAATATGCAATTATTAAAAAACAGAGGCACTTATTGACGATAGATGTGGGAATACAAATACAATAGTTAAAAAATAGAATCAAACAAATATAAACAAGATGTGATCAGTCTTTGGAACTTTTTTCTTGTATCTAAGCAGACATGACAGCCATCCCTTTCTGTATCTAAGCAGATATGACACCGTCCCTTTCTGTATCTAAGCAGACATGACAGCCATCCCTTTCTGTATCTAAGCAGATATGACACCGTCCCTTTCTGTATCTAAGCAGACATGACAGCCATCCCTTTCTGTATCTAAGCAGACATGACAGCCATCCCTTTCTGTATCTAAGCAGACATGACACCATCCCTTTCTGTATCGAAGCAGACATGACAGTCATCCCCACCTGTATCTAAGCAGACATGACACCATCCCCTCCTGTATCTAAGCAGACAAGACACCATCCATTTCTGTATCTAAGCAGACAAGACACAATCCCTTTCTCTAAGCAGACATGACAGCCATCCCCTCCTGTATCTAAGCAGACAAGACACCATCCATTTCTGTATCTAAGCAGATATGACAGCCATCCTTATTTGTGTCTAAGAAAAATGACAGCCATCCCTTTCCATATGAAAGTAGACATGACACCATCCCTTTCTGTATCTAAGTAGATATGACAGCCATCCCTTTCTCTATCTAAGCAGACATGACAGACATCCCCTTCTGTATCTAAGCAGACATGACACTATCCCTTTCTGTATCTAAACAGACATGACACCATCACTTTCTTTATCTAAGCAGACATGACAGCCATCCCTTTCTGTCTAAGCAGACATGACAGCCATCCCTTTCTATCTAAGCAGACATGACAGCCATCCCTTTCTGTCTAAGCAGACATGACAGCCATCCCTTTCTGTGTCTTAGCAGACCTAACACCCATCCCTTTCTGTATCTAAGCAGACATGACACCATCCCTTTCTGTATCTAAGCAGACATGACACCATACCGTTCTGTATCTTAGCAGATATGACGCTATCCCCTTCTGTATATAAGCAGACATGACACCATCACTTTCTGTAGCTAAGCAGACATGACACCATCCCTTTCTGTAGCTAAGCAGACATGACACCATCCCTTTCTGTATCTAAGCAGACATGACACCATACCTTTCCCTATCAAAGCAGACATGACAGCCATCCCTTTCTGTACCTAAGCAGACATGACACCATCCCTTTCTGTATCTAAGCAGATATGACAGCCATCCCTTTCTCTATCAAAGCAGACATGACAGCCATCCCCACCTGTATCTAAGCAGACATGACAGCCATCCCTTTCTGTATCTAAGCAGACATGACACCATCCCTTTTTTGTATCTAAGCAGACATGACAGCCATCCCCACCTGTATCTAAGCAGACATGACACTATCCCTTTCTGTATCTAAGCAGACATGACACAATTCCTTTCTGTATCTAAGCAGACATGACAGCCATCCCTTTCTGTATCTAAGCAGACATGACACCACCCCTTTTTGTATCTAAGCAGACATGACAGCCATCCCCACCTGTATCTAAGCAGACATGACACTATCCCTTTCTGTATCTAAGCAGACATGACACAATTCCTTTCTGTATCTAA